TTGCTACCAATTGCTCATATCGGAACATTATAGTCCATACGTGCCATCCAAAATTAAAATTCCACTACCCAAATTTGCCACTTCTAATGGTAGTAGTATAATATTTCGTCGAAACCAAAAATGCTAATTTGGGAAACATCCACAAGAAGCGCTAACTGATTACCTCAACTAAGTATTTGAATGCTAAATTATATTTGTATTATCATATAAGTTCAAGAAATGTATTAAAATTACTAAAATTTTAAGCCAAACATTTTTCAAGACTCAAATTAACATCAGAGAAATTACCACTTTCCGCTCTATCGATTTTAGTGAATTTAATTTGCTGAGTTCCAACTTATTTTTTTTATTTTTTATATTCACTACCTTGCAACTCTACTATCATCTCATTGAAGCTACTTCCTCTCCGCATTCGACATTTTGATAATTGGATCTGCGCTATAGGCTCTCCTAAAACCAGCGCGTCACCAAGTGGTCGAGTAGACAACTTATTCTGATTACTAAACTCTTTGGCTGCTACCTATTTCCCTCGCCTCTAACCATTTACCATTTTCTAAGCAGCGCTTCCTTAGGTTTAGGGCCTAAAATGTCACCAACATGCCACAGAACTTCAATTTAATTCATTTTTTGCTTCCTTGCTTCTTTTCCGTTATTTATTTACTTATTTCTATGCATTTGAATTTCGCCACAAATGCATTTACCGTTTAGTTGATACTGTGGCCTGTGGCACTGCTGCAAATGACATCAAGACGAATGAGTTATCCTAATGTGTGCCAAGCAGCAACGGCAGTCAAGCAACCACAGCGCCGCACCGCGAGCGCACACACACAAACACAGCTGCACCCGTGAAAGCACAATTTAGCCAGTGAAAGCAGAGTTCTGCGCAAATATTTTCACTCGGCCTTACTGCACTACTTTATCACTATTTCCATCTGCCTAACTGTGGATATTCATGCCATTTTATTGCATTTTTTTTTTTTAATTCATAACGATGATGATTTCTAATGGGCTTGTTGTTGTCATAGCTGTTGTTGGTGGGGAAACGGCACAAATCATTATGCAATCGCTAGATAGATTGCACATATTACAGTGTTAAAAGGAGCGTTTAAGAACCTGCCGAGCTGTTCTTATGCCCATATACATACATACAAATATATAGCACAGTTAGTTTGCATCTACAGACATTCTTCGTTAACTGAGCTCACTGCCGTTTCGCAAGTTTGCCTATGGCAACAGCACTTTCACCTGTTTGTGTGCCCCTTTTAATTTGTCAATGATTACAGTTTAAGTTAATTCAATGAATTCTCGTAATTGCCGCCGTTTACGCAGGACAACATGACTTCTTTTATCCTTCTATTTTTTATGAAGCTTAAATTTAATTAAAATGTGTCTGGCAAAAGGGGCGAAAACGCGTTCTGAGCATTTGAAAGTTCCTTGGGCAAATGCTAGCCAGAATAGAAAAATGGCTTTCATTCAAGCAAGTGAATTTGAGGGGCGTCAAATGAAATTTGATTTCACTTGTAAAAAGAAAGTTGAATTTTGTTATACTAAATTAATAGTTATTTTTCTCTCGCCGATTCTTATGTTTTCCTTAGAATTCTTACGAATCGAGTTAAGCGAAGTTGGCACTTTTTTCGCCGCATACTGAATAAAAGATCGTCTTATATTTTTTATGACATGAACGGATGTAAAAATCGTCTTTCTTCCCTAGACAGGTCGAGTGATCGTTGAAGACACGCCTCGTTCTGAACGACCTTCGACCTCTTCAACTGATAAAATTATCAAAAAAGTGAAGGATATGGTGCTTGAAAATCAGCAGCTTAGAGAGATGTCAAGAGAGCTTGACATCTTTCGTGAGCCCGTTCGAATGATTTGCATAGGTATTTTGGCGTTTTACGTTTTGATCGACTCGTCCCGGTAAAGTTGAATTTTTTTCAAAACCAGTACCACTAAAGGTCTTTTTGAACATGATTGATTCCTTTCCCACATTCGAGGAAATCATTATAACATGGGCTTATGAATTTTACTGCAAAGGCGATAGTATCAATATTGATAAATAATTAAATAGTTTACGTATAGTTTACAATTGCCGCGTCCTGTTTGCCATTGAGGTGTATTCAGTTTTTTTTCAGGGAAATTTTATCCGAGATGAATATTTTTCCCCATTCGCTCAAAAATACATTATATACTATAAAAAAAAAACTTTTTTTATAGCCTGAAAAAAAAATTTTTATACCCTGAAATTTGCCACAAAGTAAAAGAAAACGTTAGAAATTTTATAAAATATAAATATAAATAATTACCGTGATGAGCCGAGTCGATTATTTTGAGATATCGATAAAAATGTTGCCTGAGCGACTAGATTGGGTTCACTATTTCCGCATAGGAGACATAATTTTAAATCAAAGCCATTATAAAGTCATTGAAGTAATTTTTTTTAAGCCATGAAACCCCTGGAACCCTTTAACCAAAAACTCTTTCCAAATTTCTATGTTATGCTAGGAAATCAATAAGATTTAAATCAGGTGATTCATTTTAAAATTTCATCATTTTTTAAAGTAACTGTGTATCTCATGTATATTTGCCATTTTTCGAGTTGTGAGTCCTCTAATTCTTGAATGGTCAGAATTGAAACCGAAAAAGAAATTCCAAACATAACAACGTATCTTTCCTTACAACTGCTTTTTATTAAACTTTGAATAATAAATATACTATGTATATTTTTCAGCTAATATCTATACCATACTTTAAATATGATAAATTTTTTACTTACTTTGATTGTGAAAAAATACAAAACTCACAGTCTTTGTATTGACTTTAGCATATAGCGCTATCCCCGCAGAAATGCGCGCRAGTGGGCGCAAATATTTGATTTTTTTTTTTTTGTTTTTTGAATTTTCAGGTATTAGACAGCACCGCGTGCTATCAAACACACAACCGCGCACAGATATATAAAAAGGAAAGTATAATGCACTGCACAATTCCACAAATAGCGTCGATTGAAAAAAAGGTATTTTTATTATCAACGTTTTTGTTTTTGTTATGAAATTCTTGCTTGCTTATCCGGCCACAGCAGCCACGAGACAGATGCTAAACACAACGACCGCTGTCTGTGCGATATGAAGCTGCTTACTTTTGATTTTATCAGACACGTTGCACGTCGAGTTTTATTTCCGTTTTTCGTATTTTTGTTTTTGCAATTTTGATTTCTTTGCCCCCTGTTTTGGTACGGCACACCACCGCAGCGCGCAACACGCCACCAAATTATCCTTTTGCTTTGATCCTTCGTCGTCGTCGTCGTCGTCACTGGCAGCTTSTTTGTTAGCTGTTTTGTGGGGGTGTTATGTTATTTTCGGGGGAGGTTTAGTGTTGTCTAGCGCTTGGCCTGCTATTAATTTGGCTCGTAGTTTTTACTTTTGCTACTTTACTGTATTTTGCATGTAGCATTTAGAATTTCGAAATTTTTTTGGTTTTGGAGAATTTCACAAACTTTCGTTTTTCGACACTCTATTGTTGCACTTTTCTTTGGTAATTTTTTTTTTCGAAGATTCGCTTTTACAAAAACAGGCAAGCATATATATTTTTTGTTTTTTGGCACTACCGATGCACTCAGTTTAGTTGGAATTTTGATTGATTTTTTTATTTGCAGGTAGCCGAAACTTTTTCACACACACATACGCGAACACTGCACTGACAGGTGAAGCATCATTTTCGACACTACTTAACCTTTGTCCTCTTCACTTATCCTTTTACTATGCGTGTTTATCCATACATATATATGTATGCGTGTGCCAGACTTTATAGGCTTTTAGGCGCATAAACTTAACGCCACAATTGCTCACGTCAATTTTGTTTGCTCGAATTTGGCAATCGTTTGATTTTTTTGCTATAAAAAAACGCGAGAAATTTTATTTTATTGTTATATACCAAAGAATTTTATTCCAGAAACTCTTAAATGACAAAAAAGTCCATATTTTCACAACTTTTTTTATTCACTTTTTCGCATTTATTGTATACGAAAATCACCGGCTTTTACCAATTTCGAGCGTCACCCTTTCGGTTGTTCTCCCCAAATTCTTGCGCTACTTTCTTCAAGCTTCACTGCCTATCTATCTGATTATCTACCGACCTGCCGTCTGTCTGGCTAGCTGTCACTGTACTTCATCACACATTGACTCTGCGATTCTATGCCACTGGCTATTCTATTTGCCCCATCAATTCAATCACACACATCAAAAAAATAATATACCAAGTCCGCTGAAAAATGCTAAACGCAGCCAATTGCTCTTCCGTCCATCGTTCACAACAATTCGTTTCAGACTGAAAACAACTTTAGCCAACAAACAAACAATCAACCCACCGTAGTCTGACTGGACTGACACTACCACCGCCACTATTGTATGGCTATGGCTGTGAGTGGTTAAAGCGCCGACGCAATAGCCGTGTGCCATACGTAACGCAACAGCGCTTACGTGCGACGTAAATAAATCCCCCCTCTCTTTGGTTGTTAAGCAATTTCAGCATCTTTTGCTAGCGCTCATTTTACATGCAGACTATTTTACTCACATGTATGTAAGTGGCAGAGTTGCCAAAGTGAAAATGTAAAATTTATTTTTTTTTAATTGTTGGATTTTGGTTAAAGTTGAGTTTGATATGAAGGCTTCTTCAAAACTTTCATTAGATTAAAAAAAAAAAAATAATAATAATAATAAAATTAAATTCTAGAACTTATCCATATGAATCAAACGGAATATTTGAATCGGATTATATATACAAAAAAATTAAGATAAAAAAATAAATATAGGATATTCTAAATAAATAAATTATGTATATGTAAATAAGTCTCTCTAATGGGAATATTTTGCGTTCCAGTGAAATAAAATTAAAGATATAAATATTTTAAACCATTAATATCTTAAGAAGTTATAAAGTGGTTTGATGTTTAAGACTAAATATTATGAACTGTTTAGTATAAATATTTCAATCTTATTTATTTTTAGAAAAAAACTAAAAACTTATGGATTCTGGATCTGGGAATACAAATAAGATTTTCACAACGGCGAAACATGTGAGTAAAATTTGTTTTCAAAATAAAGTCAATTGTTGACAATATACATACATATTTACGATAGAGATTTCGATTTAGTCATGTCCAATTGTCTGTATATACGCGAACTAGTTCCTCAGTTTTGAGATATCTATTTGAATTTGGTCACATGTCATTTTCTCTCAATTGTGAGGACCGCTGATATCGGACCACTATAGCATATATCTACCTTCCAAACAGAAAGATCAACGATATTTAGAATATTTATTTTTTTATTTAATTTTATTCAAAAATCACATCTTTATGCATAAGCTCAAATATTTCACCCAGTTCAAATTCATCTGCTAAATTCTCCACTTTATTTGTTTACTTGGTTTGTTGGCGACCCTGTCTCGCACTCAATTAATGATTGCTGCTCTTCACGTTGCACTCTTTGTAGATGAGAGCGCGTATAATATAAAGGCATGAATGCCATTGTGTATTGTTTATTGCATATTATRTATATATCTACAAGCAACAACAACAAAAGTTTGTGGCAGAAGCCGGCAAACCATAACAAAGTATCCAATCCGTCGTACTAAGCGAAATACGATAAAACCAGTTTGAGGTATTGATATTTATGGGTGTGTGGCATGTGTGTGCATTAACATTGGATACGAATTTACGATACATCTTATACATATATATGTATGTATATATATATAATACTATCTCTAGCGGATATATATGTATATATATAAGTTATTTACGGCGAATTCCGCCACAAAGTATGCAACGAAATACAGAATCGTGGTGAAAATGCTTTTTTGCATTCAGAAAACTTTTTTTGCATAGCTACCTTCACGTTTATGTCTTCGGCGTGTTAATGTTATCCTTCAGATGTTGCCAACAGTTTTATATACTTTTACATTTCTTTTGTTCATTTCTTTCATCTTTTTCCCGTAATAAATACCATGTTTTACACCCTGAACAGGTGTTTATTAAATTACCCACAAGTAGAAGAAAACGCAGGAAATGTTCTAAACTATAGACATAAATGATCAGCGTGATGAGCTGGGTTGATTTAGCCATATCTCTCAGTTCTTGAAATATCGATCAGAAATTTAGCTTTAGGCGAGTAGGAATGGTTTGCCATTTCTACTCAGGAGATCAAAATTTCAAATTCTAGCCGAAATAAAATTAATTAAGATATACTTCGTAGATCCTGGTAGCTAAGTAGGTATTGTTATATAGTATGAGGACGTATTAGAGTTACCTGTTTTTACACCAACAAATTTTAAGCCTGAAATAAAAATATGCGATAGGGTTCAATAAGTTAGTCAAAATAGAAGTAAGGACTGTACTGAAAAGAAGAAAAGAAATTGCACACAATGATTTTTTTTTTTTTTTTTTTTTTTTTTTTTTTTTTTTTTTTTTTTTTTTTTTTTTTTTTTTTTTTTTTTTTTTTTTTTTTGGAAACGTAACGGATTTTTGCCTGTAATTTTGCTCAATACTTCTCTCTCTGGCCAAATTCTGGAACGTTTGGATAGTGCTGCTTATAAAAGGGTATAAGGCGACGGTTTAGACACTCCTTCTAATAATTGTCGGCCGATATAGTACTCTTTCTGAAAAATCGAGTTGCCTTAATACCGCAAGAGTAAAAATCCTGCCAGTTAAGTATTTACTCGCCAAATTTTTCTATTTCAATTGCTGACACGGACAGGTCGGCAGTAGTACAGTAGTGGTTTCATATGGAATTAGGGACCTAGTAATATATGTACATACATATGTTTCATCGTTCATTATAATGCAATCAACAATATTTTAGCAAACAATTGTACAACTTCTGTAGCTTTGTTTGCGCTATTTTTAATTCTTTCTTTTTTTTTTTGGAAACTTTTATTTTTTAAAAGTTTTTAAAATATTTCTTTGCTTCAGTCTTTGACTCATTTTTGCACTGGTTTTAGCTTCTGTCGCCAAATCGCGGACTGACACCCATTTTAGTAGGCAACAGGTTTTCTTGAACTTTGTTATAAATGCTATTTAATATATTGGATAAAATAAGATCACGCTCTGAGGCGCCATCAACGTCGAAACGACCTTAGATGGTATGTTTAATTGTTAATCAGACAACACCCTAAAATATATGCGAAGCTACAGCTCAGTGCATGCTTTAAAATATACGATCGGAAATCGATCGAAAATTTAACATGTTATACTTTTTTATCCTCATTGAAACTAAAAAGATAGAGAGTTGGAGAAGAAACTGTCCGTAAATTCACATATCTCGGTGGAGTACCTAATTGTATAATAACTATTCGCATTCGAATTTCGTACACATATTCAAATTATATTCAATAATGCCAAGCATGTTTCGTTTATTGACATTATCTCCACCTTTCGGTTTCAAAAGATCTCAAACGATTTTTTAAGTATAACCCAGGCCTTAGGTTTTACGCCTTCGAATCATTCATCATCATTTGGCACTACAGCTCTTTCTGAGTTTCAGCATGTTGCACATGCGTACTCTGAACGTCTCGGTCATTTGCGGTTACTTTCCAATTTTGTATATCATGTCTTCCTTAAGTTCGTAAATCCCTTTTTATTGGGATCTTCTCTTGCTGTAGTTGTGAATACTGTGGCCTCTAAAATTTTCTTCTTTTCTTCATTCTCGTTACATGGCCGCGTCATTTGCGCCTTGTGCCTTGATAAAGCGAATAAAATTTACGCATTTTCCATAAAGTTGCATTAGCTAGTTCCAGCATATACGGCACATGTCATTATCTTTTATGGCTCAATCGACTTTTCTTAGCATCTGACTTTCGAAGATTTGGAGTTTTCTTTTAGAGTAGCGTCCATGATTCTGCTCCGTAGCACAATATTAAACGGATGATGGTTTTGTATAGGGCCACTTAACATTGCTTATTGTGTAGTTTTGTTTTAAATATATTGATAAGGGTCGCGTATGAGCTATTAGCGGCTTTTATTTTTTCTTCGCTACTCTAAGTTATCTCTACTGAGTCGGAAACCCTAGTAAATTTTTACTCTTATTGCTGGTTTGTTTCTTCTGAACATTCTTCGAATCATTAGTCTTTGCAAATTGAAAGATATTGCAAAGTTTTACTTTCATAACGTCAGCGTAAAAAATGCCTCATTTATGTACCTATGTCATTTTTTTTTTTTTTTTTCTATTCTTGTTCCACTCCACTTACTGATTTATTTCATATTCTGCGAATTTGTATATTATTTAGAGTGCGATTAGCTGGTATCTAATATCAGATATACTCCAATGTACCGTTACATACATTTGCCTGTGTAATAATGACTCCCACAAAATTGCTAAACAATACATTAAGCGAAACTTCATAATCCGAAGCGAAGCATCACTAACCTAAACAGACTAAACAAAGAGCGCGACCATAAGTGGCACACATAAGCAGGGCTTTAGTAATACATATTTATGAATGTAGACAAAAGCATCGAAACGAATCCGAGAGCATAAAAAACAGCTTGTACAAAGCCTCTTGCTGCTCGGCTTGACAAGTGTATTCATGTTTAAAAGTCAATACTTTAGTTGCAACAAAGAATCGCTGTTTATATATTACATGAACAATAGAATTTTGTGAAACATGATAGAATTTGCTGACTACTTGCTCGGAAAGTAGATCAAACATCCAACAATAATTTATGTAAATACTCCAGAATTAGAAAGTTCAATGACTTATTTCCGCAAAGAAAGTTAAATACAATTTTTAATGAGAAAAATTAAAATAATTTATTGAAAATTATTAAGTTAAGGGTTTTAGTTTTTAATACACTTTCATTCATTACTTCGGGATTTAGTTAACCTTTATTGTTTGGTTGAATTTAACTACCCATTTAGTATCGATCTTAAAATATAAGCAGTAAATTTTTGTTGTTTTAAGTTACAGAATTTAAACAATTTTAATAAGAGAACGAAGCTTCAGAGATAAGTCAAATCTATATAAATTGTTTTTTTTTTTTTTGGTTTTTTGTTGGTTCCAACTTTTTCCAATCCTCGAAACAGTTGTTAAAATTAATTAAAAATTAAAATTAACGCGTAGCGATTCACGTTTAGTGTCTTCAACTGACTCATAATAGTTTCCCCGGGGCGATCGTTTGAGAAATCACACGGAGCTAAATCAAGCGAATACGATATTGCTGGAAAATTTGGCCAAAAACTCTCGAGCAAACAATACAGTATGCGACGGTGCATTATCATGGATCAAAAACCAAGAGTTGCCGGTTTGTAATTCCAACCTCTTTTCGGGAATGGCTACACGCAAACGGTGCCTAACACTCAAATGGAGTTCCTTGTTGAGAATTTGGCAAACCAGAAAAAAATCGAAGTGCTCCACACCTCGATAAACTGTAAACCTAACCATGAATTTTCACCTGCTTGACATGTTTTTTTTTCGGCTTCGGCTCGGAAGCATAAATCCAAGACACATAGGCAGTAATACACAGACATACGTTTCATGACACGCAGGTAGTAGAAAAAAAATTTCACAGATGTTAACGCGACGCGGTTATTCAAACAAATTTAGTGATTTTGGAACCAGTCGTGATTTTACTTTTCTTACTCCCAAAAGATCTTTCAAAATGATTTTCACTGATTCCAAGCGCCAATTCCTTTATTTTATTGATGTTCAGGGCAGTTCTGGTCGTGGTTCTCGTGGTACTCGACCCTCTTTGAATACTTTGTACCAATCCAAAACATTTGGTCATGACAATTATCACCGAAGACCTTTATGGCCAAAGTCGAATGCAAGCATTTTATTGAATGATTTCTCTTTTCGTAATAATCCGCCAAACTGAACACTAATGACTACTTTGATGTGTCAATTTGTGTCTGAGAAGTTTTTTATGTTCTGTAAAAATTGCCGCAATTGCGCCAAGATAGACCATGTAGATTTCTACTCTGGGTTAAAATGATATTGCAGTCGCATATGACTTGTTCATCGACTAATTGATGCTAAGCTCAGGCGATATTCATAAGATAAGTGCTAAAACGCAAAAGC